CAGCAGGATTTAGTGGTTGATTAGAGGGGCTATGGATGGGTGAGTTAAAAGAAGTCAAGGGTGAATTATTTTTGGTTTAGGGTTGGATGGTAGGGACAGCAACTGACATAGGAAATATAGGAATGTTGGGTATGTTGATTTAGAGATACCATGTTCAATCTAGGAGGAAATTAATATGTGCTAATTAACATAAATTTGGTATTCATCAACATATATTTTACTTTTACATTCTGGAGGTTTGGGAAATAGGCTCAGGTTAAGTAAACTTGGTATAGAATATGTCGTAAAAATTGGAATTAGAATTTATTAACTTATATTGAGGAATAATGAGGAATGAGAGTTACATGTAATTACATTTAATGTAATCAGGTAGGGTTTAAGCTTGTCATTTTGCTATTGGTTTCTATATGTCTTATGTCTTTATTGTTCCGTTATTCCTTCATTTATTGCTTTTTTGCATTAACTAGATATTATATATGAATATACATAATCTATATTTATAGTAAGCATGCATTTGTAAGTGTACATAAAAAACAGAAGGATATATCTAGAGAGGGCTACAAGATTTTAAAAGAGATTATTTTGTTATTCATGGGATTATATTAATCATAACATTTAAAAAAACCCCACTATTTCCCACAATTGCTAAAGTTAAATCCAAATGTATGTATGTAAAGACATAATGTTTTTCTCTAATGACTTTGTAGACCCAGTTTTCCTCATTTAATTTCAAGATAGAGCAAGACTCTACTAGTGCTTTACAACTAGATTGCTGTCTTTAACTGTAAGACTGTCCAAAAATTCAAAATTCAATGTATAAACATGCAATAGAGTTTGATAGCCCTTGTGTCCCACAGCTGGAAGAATAAGTAGTTGACCTTTAAGTAGTTTTCCGCCTCTTGGCAGATGGCCGTTCAAATACATCTCGTACCCCAGCTGCCTTTTGTTGAAAGAACTTTGTGTCCTGGGCACTCTCTTAGCCCCTTGCTGAATCAGAGGTGGTGTCCTGGTCCACAAGGTGGGTATATTTGGTACGACCAGAGGGCCCGAAATTCCTGACCTGCATGACTTTGGGAAGAATTGTTTTGTTGAAATGATCCTCCAGGGCAGGTGCGCTGAAATCTCTCTTGTGTACTTCTTCACCCTCATCCATGGAGAAGGCACCCCGGTGAGAATACCTCTGTAAGAACCTGTATTTGCCCTTAACAGCTTGGTTGGTAATAACTTTGCCATTTGCATGAAGCCCAGCTCGCCTCTCTTCCTCAGTCAGGCTTCGCATGCGTAAAATTTCTGCTTTCTCCTTCCCAAGCGCTTCTAGATCTTCCCTGTCCCTCTTGATTCTCTTTAGTTCTCGAACTTTCCATGCCTCATATTCCTCCTCACCATTTTCATCGTCAGTATTCAGTGCATCCAGTGCAGCCAGGGATCGCTTGTTCTCCTCCAGCTCTCTCTCGGTTTCCTCTTCTACAATCTTGGGTGTATCCTTGCGCCTCTCCTCAGCCCCGCGTTTAGCCTCCTGCTCCAGCTCCTTCTGTCTCAATGCTTCAGCCTCACGTTTTTGAACTGTTACTCGGTCCTTCTTTCGAATGAAGACCGGCTTACGGCGAGGCTGCATCTCATCTTCACTGTCTGTGTACTCTTCATACTCGGACTCTGATTCTGGCTCCTCCCCAGGACGCCCCTCATCTTCCACTCCCATGACTTCCACCTCTTCCTTTTGTCTCTCCCGTGCTCGGTGACGCGTCATGCCACGGCGCCGCTCTATTTCCTCATCATCCATTTCTTCCTCTTCCTCCTCACTGCTGTCTTCTCGTTCCAGGCGCCAAGCGTCTCCTTCTACTTCTGCGTCACTTTCTCCTGCGACTTCAGGTTCCGCTATTTTCCGATGTCGAGCCAATCTCTCTTCCACATCTTCACTGATACGGTTCTGCAAACGCCGTCGTTGGGGGTCGCTAGATGAACCCCCCCTCCTGTTCCTCAGGCTCTGCTTCTTGTTCTTTGGTTTTCTTTCTTTCTTTTTTTGTTTTGTTTTGTTCAAAAAAATGTATTTTTCATTGCATTAAAAACAACACCACCTGCTCAATATGCTCCCTCTCATGCAAACAGCTCTCATATGAGATGCTTCAGATTTTACATTTTTTCCATTCTGGCTCATTCTGTGCTTCCTCATCATCAGATTCAACTTGTGCAAACATGGCTCTGGGCTGAGTCTTGGAAGAGGCCGGAGAAACCCAGTACGGGCTGTCCGCCGCGGCCTTGGCGTGGCGCAGGACAGCCTCCCGGGGACTGCTGTCATCCGTCTTACCCAAGCAATGTTCTTCAGGATGTATGAGGACAGGGTGCCGCCGTGGGCTCCCCCCCGGCCGCCACGACCTGGGCCCGCCACAGGGGGTCCAGTCTGTCCT